TTGGCAGAAGAAAACACCCCCCATTACATTACAGTGAAAAAGTCCAGCTGCCAGCTGACGGAACGGGGGACAGCACCAGAAGGTTGCACACAGATGGTGCGTGACACATATGCAACCATGATATGAACTGCAACAAATGCACAAGAAGACAACGTCAGTCCTTCCACGGCCATTGCAGTACTCTGTCCACGAGAAAAATCAAAGAACAAAACAAAGTTGCTTCTATCCCTCCCTGCAATAAGCCCAAAGGGCTCAGCTTTTTTCTCAGGCCCACAAATGGGTTAGGAAAAACGTCCAGCAGAGACATGTATGAACGCCACTTCCATCCTGTTCCGCCCCATTATCCCTCCCTGCAACGCAACGTGAGGCACCTGCTAAAGGCCATTAATTATCAGCCGTTGATTTCCCGAAGTCCTGATCCCGTGAGATGAATGTTCACTCTGACGCCTGCCTGCCACGAGTGGGCACAAGCACACAATAGACCAAGCACTGGCTTCCAAGTTCCAACTAGTCGATATCACTGCTGTCGACACTGACTCGACAGCACACATCACTTCGCTACCTGCCATCTCATCACAATAGGTAACACAAACAAGCATGGAAGACTGCACAGTGAAAAAGAGGGAGGGAGGGAGGGAGGGAGGGAGGGCAAGAGCAACAGACATTTCCATCGGTATCAATATTCAAGACTTTTGTATCTTAATAACAGGGCCCTTGAGGGAGGGGAAGAGCAACAGACATTTCCATCGGTATCAATATTCAAGACTTTTTTGTATCATAATAATAATAGGGCCCTTGTTCTCCTCTCCTCCTCATCTACCTTTATGTTCATCAAATGCTTGCTCCCCTTGCCACCTTACTGGTGTTTACGGTCATCCTTGCTCCCATCCTGCCAATTGTGGTCATCCTCCGTCGTTGTCATCCTCCGTCGTTGTCATCCTCCATCGTTGTCATCCTCCGTCATTGTCATCCTCCGTCGTTGTCATTCCCATCTCCGCCAAAGCACCCATGATTACCACCTTTCCCATTCCCATCTCCGGACTTTGTTGTCCCTAAGAAATTCTTCCCATTTCCACCGACAGTTGCGTCCATGGAACATTTGCCTTGAAGCCCCTTCTTTTCCACCTTGCCCCTCATCATCATCATCATCATCTTTCTAACTATCCAAGCAAAGAAGAAGAAGAAGAAGAAGAAGAAGAAGAAGAAGGGAGATGAAGAAGCGGACGACGAACGACAATGGCTGGCGACGCCAGCCAAAAACGAAAAAAATACGCTGCTGACAGTTCAGCAAAGCTACCCGTGCAGTGCCAGACCACCAGGCTCGGGTGTGCTGGTTGGCTTAAACCACCACCCCAAAAGGCAGATTGAGTTGAGCCTCCCCTAAAAATCCGGAGGCCATGGCCTGTTGATAAAATGAAAATGAACCGGCGAGGCTCAATCTGCTTTTCGGATGTACTGGCGGTTTAAGCGGACGCCAGGCCGATATTTCTCTTCTTTTTCCAGACCACAAGCCCTGCTTTCCCTGCCCGTCCAGGGCTCAAACAAAGAAAAGCTGGCACTGGCATCACATACGACCCACCGGTCTTCCTGCAAAACGATGCCACCTCTAAGATATAATTGTATCTGGCTGGACTGATAGTCTACATGCCTTCACGATTAAAACGTGTCTCGTCTTTGTAGGAAAATGGCTGGCAGTGCCAGTGCGAAAGCTTCCGGCTATGGAAAGAGGGCAATGGCACATCCAAATTGACTCGCTACGACCTTGGTTTCAGTTTCAGTTCACAGTTCTCGCGGTGCAGAAGCAGGTAGCGAGAAGGAGAGAGTATAGTAGGGTTCATTTGCAGCCACGAGTGCGTCCCCTGTAGATGCTCACCGGGTTGGGTATGGTTGTGATTTCCATTGGGTACCTGCTGAGGTGGGGGGGGGGGNGGAGGGTCCGTGTTGGAAAATCTGGGAAAATCGGTTTTAAGGTGCTGGGTAAAGCCGGAGCATTTTTTCAAAAAGCAGGCCTGGGTTGGGCATGGTTAGACGTTTTGAAGATCAGGTTCGGATCGGGTCTCCGTGACGAGGGGGGTACGGTTTGCGATCTTGGTTTTGCTACACCATTTAACGGATAACCTATCACAAACAGAGCGAGAAATCACTGAGCACAACGCCTGAACGACCTTCCCCCCAAAGGCAGGCACGCACATACGACATCCAAATTAGGCTATATATGATATCCAAATTAGGCTTAGAAGTAAGATAAGTGTTGGGCCGTTATGTCCCTCGCGACATCCGTTAAAATTGGAACCATACAGTGAAAAGAAAATCAACATGCCCCCTGCGCAACGAAGGATGACGTGCATAAATCAAGGAAGGATACGTCCGAAACAACCTCGATAAGGTTGCAAAATTTGCCGTGTACATAGAAATAGTCCAACAATTTTGTTTAAACTCGGAAAAAAAAAAAAAAAAAGCGTTGGGGCGTTACTTTCCTTGCCAACCCACAGACCAAGATCTGCCTCCGACTCCAACCCCTTTCAGTATACTGCCCATACCGAGGATAATCTGTGTCTGGCATGAGCTCAGATATCATTTGAAGTTTTGAGAATCTATTTGGATTCGCTGTGTTGTTTTAGTGGGCAAAAGGAGGGTACGAAGCGTACCCTTGGCACCAAGATTGACAACCACATGCTCTGATCCACTGTTGAGCCGCAGGCTTCAGCAACAGCGCATGAGCAGCATATGTAAAGGGAGCAACAAAACAAATCTCTGAAGCAGCAGTGCTGTCGATGCACAGGGCCACCACTAGATCAGGTTCCGTAACCCCGCAATGACAGTCGCGTTGTTCAAGACAACGTGCTCTCAGTTCTCGTGGCGATGACCCGAGGTTGCCCCCCCTCAGGGAGTCCTTCATCTGGGCCACTGCTGGAGGAAGAGGGGTTGGAGGGGGGGGTGAAGAATGATACGGAAAAGAGGGACTAATGAAGTGATACAAATATACGCTGCAGCCTTTGTACAACAAAGCGCATCACTCTGTTCACCCTTTAGAGAAGTGGAAATGAATTCCAGGCGATTCAGCATATGCACGGCTGGCCGCATGGATTGCTGTGCTGCGCATGCACCGGCCATTGGGGGGCCAGGGGACTGACATGTCAGGGACTCCGTTGCGAGCTGGCTGCTATTGTCACAGAGTCACAGTCCCAAGCCTCCTGTACGCGGCACTAAGGACGTCACTAAGGGAAGGGGGCTTCAACACCACACCTCACCTCCCACCCTTGTTCGAGCGCATATCGCAACCAACCCTCATGTCGATGAGATTCCCAGGAACGCCACAGTCGACTAGAAACCTCCTTTTCCTCGTTGGGCGGCAGAAGGGTCCCGTGCATGTACAAGCTTGATGGCCGCCGACCGGACAGGTAAATAAGTGACGATAGACACAGATCATGAGCTCGTACTCAAATGTCTAACCCCAGCAAAACGTAAGGAAAGATGAAGGAGCAGCAGCAGCAGCAGCAGCAGCAGCAGCAGCAGCGTTGCTATCGATGTCCCTGCAAAACAAGATCTGTGTCTATATGATGAATAAACAAAACCCTAGAAGGAGAAGAAGAATGGTTGCCACTTGAGCTCCCGAAAAAGGCTGGCAGTTTGGGACAAGTACAGAAAGAGTGTTTCGCAGCGCCTTCCTTGTCATTGCCCTGAAATTGTTTGGACCCCATATTGTTGGGACAAGTACAGAAAGAGAGTTTCTACTGGTTAATCAGTCGAACATTTGCTGCCTCGTTTCGGTCTCCATATGGCTTTAGTATCATCATAATTACTGCTAATCGCCGGCATCATTCTCTGAATCACCTCACTCTTCCATTTCCTAGAAATGAGATCCATCCGTGACCATCTGTAGCCCGAACACACAGAGGTCGCGCAATTCTGCAGCACAGAGAGAGAGAGAGAGAGAG